CTCTTTCTTACGAGCTAAGTGCATTATATGAGAAAATAATTTGAAAAATGCATTAATATTTTTTTTACTAAATGCATTAATATTGTCAAAATGCCAAATAACAAACAATAAACTCTCGACATTTGTTTTTAAAACTGTAATTAACTAGGTAATTTATATTTTATATTTGGGATAGGATATTCTGACACACAAATAATGTTACACACAATGTTACGACCACATCTTAACCGTTGATTTTCGCCAATCAACGGTTATCATTTTTCAAATCAAACTTATTAATTAATTATTAATTCGCAATAAATGATAACCGTTGATTGGCGGAAATCAACGGTTAAAATGTGGTCGTAACATTGTGCGTAACATTATTTGTGTGTCACAATATCTTATCCCTTTTATATTTTTATAATTTAATTAAATTATAAATAGTTTCATATAATTTAAATTTAAATAGGATGTTTTCAATTAGATATTTACTAATTATAAAATTATAACTAAATTCTTAAAATCTATAATAGTAATACATAATATCTTATATAGTTATGAAGATACCTAATCCCTTTATACTTTTAAAAAAGTTAGAAGTATAAAAAAATAGAAAAAAATTAAACTATGAAAAGTTATTTGAAATTTCAGCATTACTTGATTTGTTGCAACAAAAAAGTAGATAGGAGACCATACAAAGTCTTGTTTAACTAAGTTTTAATGAAAAAAGAAATCGATAAATATTTCACCTATACTGAAAATATTACTGAATAATAAAAGTCTTCATTATAAGTATTATTGAATAATAAATATCATTATTGCAGGATACAATTCATTGTTTTTTATATTGAACCAGCTGGTCAAGATTCAAGGATTATAAGGAAAATCATTGAAATTTTGCCTACATTTCACTTGGGCATTTGTGTGCAAACATTCTTTCATTAAAATATTAAATTATGAAAAATCAACATTTTGTATGGAATATTTTAAGAAAATATTAGATGTCTATTTATTAAAATAATTTTGAATGCATTGAATACCACTTGGCTGGTGATAAGTCTCTGAATTAAGACTTAAAACAAATGCTTTATATTGCAAATGAAGGGAAATGAATAGATTTTGTGAATTAAATACCCCAACTTTGTGTGAATTGTCTTTTGTTGGTTGAAAAAGTTAATGGGTTGATTTTTATTGTGTTTCAGGCCCAAACAGTGTTATCCTTCCTTGCAAAAAGAATGAAGAAAATTGGGCCACTCATTTGATGTTCATCAGCCCGAAATGGCAAAAGAAAGAAAAAAAATAAAAAAAAAAGAGGATGGGCCAGATAATTAAATCAAGCAGCAACCTAAATGAAGATTAGAAGAAGGAAGAAAAGAAAAGACTTGGGCCAGAGGAAATAGAAAAAATGCAGCAGCCCAAAGCAAATAAACAAAAAAGAAAGAAAAGAAAGGAAAGAAGAAACAGATCAGATCGTGAGAAAGAGAAAAGGAAAAAAAAACCCTAACACAGATCACCATTGAGTAAAGCCATCTCAATCCCTCACCTTCCATCACGGTTTGTCATTGAATCGGACAAATAAACCGAAAACCCCTTTTGATTTTCATCCTAGACACAGAACCTTAGACTCCATCACGGTTCATTTCTCGAATCGAACCAATCCCACACAAACCCTAACCGATTCTTGGTTCAATCCAGAAAAATCCAAAAGAGTTGATGAGCTGGAGGTCGTTAGTGGAAAGGGCTGCTTTTTGGGGTGCGTTGCTGAATCGTACAAGGAGACTCCCACGATCAAAAGGAGCAAGGAGCGTACGTTGGAGGGGATGATTTTGGAGCAGCTATAAAGGAGGGACGAAGGGCTTTTTGTAGGCAGCTATCTCTCCCTACCTCTCTTCTCTTTGTTGATAATTTTTATTTTGCTCTTTAGGTTATTTTCATGCTACTGTTTTCTGTCTTTATTTTAGTAATCGGTTTGTAAATTTTATGAGCACTGTGGTCAGGACTATCGGTTGTTGATAGTTCCTGAGTTTTTTTATTTCCAGTACCTTTTAAAGTTTCTATTTTTATTATGAACACTTGCTGTATTTTAGCTCATCAACTTGTGGTGATGAGCTAATTTTTCTGAGAGTTGGGTTGGATAAAGTACCCAGAACTCACTTTTAGTAGATGATGGTTTAATGTTTACAGGGTTGTTTTTCAGCTAGTTTACTGTGCATGCTTATTTCTGAGTTTGTTATGTGATGATCACACATAGTCAGCTCTTAGTGGTGTGAGAGTATTGGGAAATAACTCACACTAGATCCCACTGTGAGCACATGGAAAGTTGAGAGAAAAATCTCTCTCAATGGGTATGGCTTCAGGGATGGAGTTACCCCCATGTAACTTGTGAAAATGGTGTCTCAAAGTCCTAAGACAACAGTGAGATAGGGATATGCCAACTGTTGTCAGTGGAAGAAAATTGATGTTGCGAAACAACAATTACTCTAGTATTTTCGTTAAGCTGAAAGCAATTTCTGTTTTCTATTAAAGCATCCTAATGACATTTGAGTGAAGGGGAAATTGAAAACCCAACTCATTTCCAAATACTGATTTTAAAACCAATCTTTGTCGCTTGTTATTTTTGTTCAACTTCAAAATTATTTTTCTCTTTTAAATCTTAAAAGAAAATCATTAAAAAAAATATTTTACAAGTCTTTTAGTTTAGTCATTTTTCTAGGCAACAGTTCAAAAGATCCTTTCATCAACTAAGTTCACTGTTTTAAAAAGAGAAAATCTCCACACAAAAACATTTTCAGTTCATTATTTAAGAATAGTAGTAGCATTTAATTTTATTTGTTTTTATTTTTAGTTCTTTTAGCAATTACCATTTATTTCAAGTTAAAACGCAAAGATCCTTGTGGGAACGATAACTGGGACTCACAAAAGCCCTATATTACTTGTGGTCGCGTATATTGCGCGCATTACTTGCATAACTGTTAGCAAGGCAACAAGTTTTTGGGATCGAGGCGTACATGATCAGATTTCTTTGTGTGATTGCTATTTCTGAATTGCTTATTTTTGCTGTTTTTAGTTTAGCTTAATTTGAATTCTGTTTCAGGTGTGTTACTGTAGTTCGTGAATATTAATAGCTTAAAACTTTGTTCTGTTCATATTCTGTTTTTTTTATGTCATTTAAATTTTTTTTAGTCTAATAGTTCATAATTGTTATTTTATTTCATAATTTTGTAGTTACAGTTTTATTTTAATTATCAGTCTCACTCTGTTAGTGAGTCTGCCTTATAAAGTTGTAAAGCTGTGAACTGTCTTGGGACTTTTCTGTTTGCAGGTTCTTGTTTGTTTATTTTTTGCTTGTTTTGCATAAAAATTGGTTAGTAATCTAGGTGTTTTAGCTAAGTCAGGTTTACTTGTTTTAGTTAAAAAGGGTGCATGAGTGCAACTCCACACCCGTTCATAGAATCATTTGACCCAGAACCTGAGAGGACCTTTAGAGTTAGGAGAAGAGCCCAAAGGCAAATCCCAATCCCAAATTTTGAAGAGATGGAGAATGTAGGAAATGGAAATGGGAATGGAAATGGGAATGAGGAAGAAATACCAAGGATAGAAAACCCGCTTGTAATAAATGACAATGATAGGTCCATGATGGACTTCATCATACCTGTGTTGGATGAGTTAGATCCAAGCATAGCTCAACCTGTGAATGGAGTGCCTTTTAAGCTAGAACCGGTGATGTTCACATGCTCCAAAACATGGGGCAGTTCCATGGGTTGTTGATGGAAGACCCACATAAGCACCTTAGAAATTTCATAGAAGTGGCCAACACTTTTAAGAATCCCAACATCTCGGATGATGTGCTAAGATTGAAGTTTTTCCCTCATTCACTGGCTGACAAAGCCAAAGAGTGGTTGAACTCCCTTCCATCCAACTCCATAACCAATTGGCACACCCTTGCTGAGAAATTCATCATGAAATTTTTCCCCTCCAATAGTGCAAACTAGAGGTGATATTGCTAACTTCATGCAGAGGGATGGTGAGACATTAGTGGATGTGTGGGACAGGTACAAGAACCTTCTTAAGCAATGCCCCAACCATGGTTTTCCCTCTTGGGCAGTGTTATAAACCCTTTACAATGGCATGAATACTTAAAACAGGGCCTTAGCAGATTCTGCTGCTAATGGCATGTTTATGACTATGTCCTTTAACCAAGCCCATGAGTTGTTAGAACAAATGACTCAAAATTATGCCCAATGGCCTGAAGAGAGAAATCAGCCAAGGAGAGTGGCTGATTTACATGAGATAGACCCTGTAACAGCCCTTTCAGCCAAGTTTGATGCATTGTCCAATTTAGTGAGAACCCAAGGACAAACCATTGAGGCAAGATTGTCCCAACCCCAAGTTCTTGTACCTACACCTTAAATACCTGTGACCCAACCTCAAGTTAACGCAATAAACACAAGTGTAACTTGTGTTTGCTGTGGTGGGCCCCATTTGTATGATAGTTGCCCATCCAACCCAGAATCTGTGTTTTATGTGGGAAACCAAAATAATTTTTCCACTAATTTTAATCAAGGATGGAGGCAGAATCAACAGCCCCAATTTTTCCAAGGGCAAGGGCAGCAAGCTGGCCCTTCAAATGCCCAAACCAAACCACATTTTCCCTCCCAAAATTACCAACAACCTTCAAGGCAGCAACCTTTTGCTCAGCCTAGTGAGCTGCCTATTGCTCCACCATCTTCCTTAGAAGCTTTGTTGAGGGAATATTTGGCTAAAAATGAGACCAAGCAAAATAGCTTGGAAGCTGTTGTGCAAAGTATTCCAGCATCCTTGAGGAACATAGAATCCCAACTAGGCCATTTAGCAAACACTATGAATACCAGACCCCCTGGTACCTGCCTAGTAACACTAAAGAGCCTAGGAGAAATAAAGAGCAATGCAATATGATAGAGCTTAGAAATGGCAGATCTGTAAATCAGCCAGAAGCTGTGGTTAGACCTTCCACATTAAAAAAAAGAGAAGAGGAGAACATGCAGAAAGAAAAAGATGCAAATTCTAAACCTGTTCAGAATTCTGTTGTTCATGACAGCCCCCAAGGGGCTGCGCATAGTGTCCCCTTGCTCATTCTAGTTGAACCAGACAATCAGCCCCCTATAGATGAGCCTTTACGGAATAATTCCATGGAAAAATCCACTCCAAGGGGTTCGACCCCTAAGCCAAATAGTGAGACACCTGCTGCCTCAAAAAGACCTCCACCACCCTTCCCTCAACGGTTACAAAAACAGAAGCAAGACACTCAATTTAGGAAATTTCTAGACCTCCTAAAACATTTGCATGTCAACATTCCATTTGTGGATGCATTAGAACAAATGCCCACTTATGTGAAATTCATGAAAGAAATTCTTTCAAGAAAAAGGAGGCTAGAAGAGTTTAAGACTGTTGCTCTTACACAAGAGAGCAGTCAATATCTGCTTAGTAAGATACCTCCTAAATTAGGAGACCCAGGAAGTTTTACAATCCCATGTACCATAGGAGACCACTACATAGGCAGAGCATTGTGTGATTTAGGTGCTAGTATCAACTTAATACCTTTGAGTGTGTACAAAAAGCTGAAAGTAGGAGAGCCTAATCTCACCACTGTCACTTTACAGTTGGCTGATAGGTCCTTAGTTTATCCGGAAGGGAAAGTAGAGAATGTCTTGGTGAAGGTAGATAAATTCATTCTACCTGCTGACTTTATTATTTTGGACTATGAGGAAGACCGAGAGGTGCCTATAATTTTAGGAAGGGCTTTCTTAGCCACTGGTGGGGCTGTGATAGATGTTAAGGAGGGTGAGTTGGCTATGAATGTGAATGGTGAGCAAGTAAAATTTAATATTTTGAAAGCCATGAAATACCCAAGAGACATAGAGGAGTGTTTTAGGCTAGATATCATTGACTGTGTAGTCAAAGATAAATTTATGCATGAATCTGCATTGGACTCTTTACAAATTTCTGGTTTTGAGGGTCTTGAAATCAGTCAAACTGATTCAGAGGAAGTGGTTAAATGGTTAAATTCCAGATCTTGTGTGGTTTGGAAAAATAAAAATTTTGAGTCCTTAGAATTGGCCAAGAGAGGGTTAAAAATTCCCAAACCCTCAATTGAAGAGCCCCCTGTGTTAGAGCTCAAGCCTCTGCCTAATCACCTTAGGTATGCTTACTTAGGAGAACAAGACACATTGCCTGTTATAGTGTCCAACCTGCTCACTGTGTTAGAGGAAGAACAGTTGCTGACTGTTTTAAAAAAATTTAAGAGAGCTATAGGTTGGTCTTTGGCAGACATAAAAGGAATTAACACACTTCCTATTACACACATGAAAGAGGTAGTAAAAAAGGAAATTCTTAAAATCCTTTTT